GCACCCAAATCTGAGTACACGGGCCTAAAACGTTTCCGCCTCCATCGAAAATGCAGCCGCCACAGCCGGGATTTGATCCCGCGACCTGCGGGTAAGCAGCTGAGTACCTTAACCACTAGACCACCGTGGCGGGGCGCTCAGCCAGGTGAATCCACCCCAGATGGTGCTTGGAGATGGAGTCTCTCGGCGATGTTCCGGACCCTTGGACGGCCAAGAGTGTGTTGTCGAGTTACATAGTGTGTGCGGCAGCCTCCCCGAAGACTCCGTGTGGTAGTTCTGACCGCGAGTTAAAGTGGCACAACCAGAACATGTGTTCAAAATTAGTCCTCGTGGTGACAGTGTGGACAGTGGAGTGAGAAATTTGGGTCGAGTCTGTGCATTATGGCTGCTGTGATGTACGTTTGCATCCGTTGTTGCCGAAGTGTAACTGCTTGTCCTTTATTCAATTTAGGGTGCGGAAGCGGGAAATCTCTGCACCCTAATTTATGAGTTGTGGGGATGTCGCGACATGTGATCAATGAATCCTTGAAGTCCATATACCCCGTTTGCTACCCATATGAGAGGGCCGCTCACCACCGTGGGTAGCTAGTACACGCTCTAGCTGGTGAGCCCCTCTCATTTGAGTTGCCGGTCGGGCAAAATGAGAAATCACCCATATGAACCGAGAACCATGCGATATGTGCGGGGTGGAAGTTCTTGCTTAACTCCCGGAATAGCGTCCTTTCTGGTGGCAGCGTATACATTGGCTGCGCTTGCACTTCCATTGACTGTGAGAGTACTGACTTGGGGGGCCCTTTGCGCAACGTCCTGGCTTTGTGTCTAGAGTATGGCGATGATAGAACCTGGCCTTATATGGAGCTACCCACCTCTGATTTCGTATTTGCTAGCTGTGATTGCTTCGGCCCGAACCGGTATGCCGATAGTCTTTCTTCAAAGGCAGTTTCTGGTAGGGTCATGGTCGCATGACTATTTTAAAATTAGCTTTCGCAAGTGGAAGAAGTTTGGATGTCCATGCTCGTTATTGTCGTTAATATGGTTTTGTCGGGCTAGTGCAGCCCGTGGGTTTCATCCTCTCTCGCAGTTTCTACTTCTTTTGCCTTAGCGTCAAAACCGTCTGCCAGTCGTCGTTTGTCCACGGACGTTTCTTCTTGCTTGTCAACTTAGGGCGGCTATTGCGTCAAGTCAACTTTGCTATTCATCGTTGATGATCCTGGTTCTGTAAAATCTGTAGGTGCGGTCTCACCGCGTCTTGAAGGCTTTCTTGCTTCGAACGCGTATAGCGTCCCAGTCACCACGTTTAGGTGCAGTGGGCGCCGCGCCGAGCTGGCCATTGCATGGGTCGGCGACACAGGCTTCTGGTTCCGAGCTTCCAGAGTCATCGTGTCATGTGAAACTCACGAACTGCCGCAAAAGTATTATCGCCATGTTCACCGCATCTTCGAGAGTCAATTAGTGTCCTGGTGTGATGGATTGAATTTATTTAATCAATATTAGTACATTTACAGGATGTTGCAAGATTATATCGAAGGATTTAAAACAGCACTAGTACAAAGAATTCAAAGTCTAAATCAGTAGTCTATGCACACGCACATTTATACATACAAGCGTACACATAACAATTCTTAATCTACAGCATTCACTACGTAATTCAACAGCAATTTGGGACCAGATTAAGTGTAGATACATGAAACTAATAACAACAATATATACACGCAATATAACTCATGACACAGCAATAGAAAGATTATTATGGTAACACATTTGTGTAAACGGTTGGGAGTGCACGCGTAGGTACTTGTATATACGAACCGAAAAACGATAGTGTTTTAGGTTATTATGTGATGAAGTTGAGGGACTGATTGTATTGTAGGGACTCAAAAGGCAGACCGTTCCAGTTGGCAATGGTTCGAGGAAGAAGGCAGAACCTAAATGCGTGGTGCAGGTCGGAAATGGTATTGTTGATGCAGTATGACTATTTCTAGTTAGTCGTGATGGTAGTGTTTGAATGAATGTAAAGGCATCTAGTGCAACCTATTTATTTTTAAATGAAAAAGAATCTTTAAATTAAGAATTTTGCGACGAAGCTAAAGTGCTAGTATAATACTTTTGTGCATGATAGCTGTGGGGGAGTATACATGCGGTCGGTACTCAAAAATTATAAACCCTATGCGTTTGCGTTTGATAATTTTTATTGCATGAATGTTTTTTAGTTCGTGGTTCTCAAATAGTGCACGCATATTCGAGAGTAGGTCTAATGATAGTATTACAGGCTAGCAGCTTCACAAATGGCGGGGCAAGATGAAGTCTGCGCTTAAAAGAGCTTTGCTTATGGAAGCTGGTTGCGCAAATGTTAGATACATGCACATTCCAACTTAGACTTTTGGTTTTCGTTACGCCAAGATACCTATATTCACTGATCTGTTTGAGTATGTCAGTTTGTAGTGCATATAGAACAGAAAAATGTTTTTTTATATACACTATTTTGTATGAGTTTAGTTTCATATCCCACTGCTTACCCCCCTGGAAAACGTTATCAAGGCAGGTGTTTAAATGCTGTTGATCATTCATCGTAACAATTTTCCTATACAAAACACTATCATAAGCGAATAGCCTTAATTAGACATTCTAAGGGACAGCTTTAAAAATGTCATTTTTATATAATAAAAAGTCTGGATGTCAAAACACTTTCCTGGGGAACGCCTGATGTAATCTGAAGTTTGGATGAATATTTACCGTTAGCGAACAAACTGTGTTCGATTTGACAAGTACGCAGACACCCAATATACAATAAAATCTGAATTTAAGGCTAATATCTTTAGTTTGAAAACCAATTTATTGTGGAGAACTAAATTAAAATCTTCTAAAGACAAGATTTTAACATCAATACGCTGCATTTATCAAGAATATATTTATTCATTTACATGATACCTGTGATGCCTCGATGATACCATGATACCATGATACCTGTGATGCCTATCGCAAGGAGGCATGTTTAGGATTACCTTCTAGAAGTTTTGCAGTGACAAACAAGAAAAAGATATGAAGCATGGTCATCGTCAAAGTAAAAAGTAACTGAGGGAGTTAAAAGCTTACAGAAAGCCTTCCCCCCCCCCCCCAAAAAAAAAACTATGACAATTGTACATTACTTTAAACACAATCGCGACCAAAAATTATGCTTATCATATACAGAAACTTAGTTTTCTGGTAACACGTCCCAATTTTGTACAGTTTGAGAGAAAAATACCTGCAAAAATATTTATAGCTTTTACCTGATGAGTCACAGCGAAAAAAACCCTTCCTGTACACATGTTGAAATGGGGTTACTATATTGTTGTCACTAAGAAAATTATTGACGTAGTTAGCTATGATGTACTCTAGAAGCTTGCAAAAGGAACAAGTAATGGATAAGGGGCGGGTATTTGTAACCAATATTTTACATGAAGACTTCAATATTGGCACAATTCGCACTGTTTTCCAACCTATCGGGACAGAGGATGAAGACAGGAAGGCGCTGAAAATGATCTCAAGGAATTCGGCAACCATCTCTGCGTATCAACGCAAAATTGTGAATTTCAAAATTTGTGAAATTTGGCGTTGTGAATTTCACACAGACTAGGCGAGGCTTTACGCTTTAAATTTAGAAGCATAGATGCAATGCCTGATAGGGACACGATGTGCATGTCGAAATTAATAGAGGTGGCCTAAACGCGCGCAATCACAATCTTTTTGGAAAACGCTTTCAAAGTATTCGTTTAATTTTTGTCGCTATGCTTGTTTTATCCGTAACGATAATATCATTGTGGAATATTTGAAGAGTGCCTCACACTGAAATGGAGAAAACATCACATGGGAATAGAGACCTGTGCAAATTGCAGTGAGCTGCTCGGCGCCTCATTGCGTCTCCCTCCGTAACTGATGATTTTTGAAGACGCGCATATCAGGGAGTACAGTTCAGATATTGCTTTCTGATGTGATACTTTTGCGTAAATAACAATGCGCTGAGTTCAGGTATATATTAAAAACTTCACTTACCACAATGGTTAAGTCATGATCACGGGTGGTAGACGCCACCATGGAGATGTGTCACTAGGCGTCACATGGATGTTTCCCTGTCAAACAGTGCCATAGCTTTGAAACGCCAATGTAAACTGTACAACTTATCATATAACACTACTTGATTAGTGCTACTTCTGTGAAGAGACGTCTCGCTTTCGTGCTACACCGATTTCTGTAGCGCAGGGGTCAGTCAGGTATTTTGAATTGTTTTGTTCTGTGATACAGATTACACCTGAATAGTGCAGCTCTAATATTTTTAATTTTTCTCTGATGAAAACATCATCGCATGTTTACGTGATTGTGCTTTTTGGTAAATATATGTTTCTGTTCTAATTGAGCTGCATTACAGTGCTAGTGTTCCAGATCTTTTTTGTGTCGCTGGAGTGCAGCACTGTGCCGCTAATCTATTTTTGCTATTGCGATTGATTTCATTGATAGGTGGGGTTTAACGTCCCAAAATCCTTATATGTTTATGAGAGATGCTGTAGTGGAGGGCTCCGGAAATTTTGACCACTTAGGGTTCTTTAACGAGCACCCAAACCTGAGCACACGCGCCTAACACATTTCCGCCTCCATCGGAAATGCAACCGCCGCCGTAGCCGGGGTTGGATTCCGCGACCTGCGGGTCAGCAGCCGAGTACCTTATCCACTAGACCACCGCAGCGGGGCGCTATTGTAGTTAAGCACACTACGAAAGAAAAAAGTGCGCGTTCTTTGTCAACTATTTTGTGTGCCTCTTACTACAACTGAAATGTTCTGGCACTTGCCCAGGGACGCTGTCAATATGACCTGGCAGTTCTGTCACTTTGGCAATACCATTCAATTCATGTACTTTGTGTGCTAGTGTGAAGTTTTTTTTATGAAGTTCGCGAAGATCCTTGAATAAGCTTGAAAATTGAGACTCTTCAGGTGCATAAAAGTTTCAACGTTTATTATTCTTACAGATGGAGACGCTCCGTCTTCGACCTATCCTGCTCGTATGACCCTTCGAGGAACGTCTTCGGTAAGGCGGGCACTTCTGTACTTTAGGATCTTAACACTACTCGGATTTAGGATCTTACACTTAACACTGTAATTAACTTGTTCCTAACACTGCAGGTAACGATCTCTGCTTCAATTATTCAAAACTTATCATAGCGTGTGTTTTGAGCTGAGCATTCAACAGTTAGGATCGCTATTTTATACATGTTGTAACAGTTCCTTGTTAAGTTATATGGGTCGCATAACAATGGCTAATTACGCTTTAAAAATAAGGCACCTAATGGCATGTAGTTTCATGCATCCGGATTTGTGATGGCATAGTGTAGTCTGAACCTCGCATGGAAGAAAGCCATCGTTCGAGTTCCGAGACCAGGATTAAAAAGACGTTGAGAGATCTTAAGCTTCGCCTTTCAGGGTTCAACGCGCTAGTCATATTCGGTCTCTAGTGCACAATTGAACCATTAAATGTATACATTTAAAGACGACGGTTTTTTCGGATACTTAAACGCACTAATTTTGGTCTCACTGTCTGTCAACCGAAACGATTACACCACTCTGCCAAAGATTAACCAGTTTCCCAACGCCCACCCATCTTTATCTGTTGAATACATTCGTATTTTCTGCTGATATAACATTTGTGTGTACATAAATAAGGACGTATACGAGACGTTGCCCCGACATGATGGCCATCGCAACAGCGACGACGAAAAAAAATAGCCGAGAGTGTTCATAAGATTGCAATCACAAACAGATATATCGCAACTTGGGAGACAGATACTATTCTTTGCTTCCACGCATCACCTACGTAGCGACCCGTAAGCAGCTACTCTATGCTCGCGGTCATAACTCTGGTGACAACGGTGGTAATTGAGGCTCCGACTACATATTATACTATAGGTGTATTGGGAGCACAACAAAAGTCACATTGTTACCAATAAATATGGCGCATGCTGCTATAAAATATTTATTTGGGGCAAAGCTGTACTCGTAACCTCAATACTAAACGGTCGAAAAAATGTATTTTGCTCGCTATTCTGAGCTCCGTAGGTCTCTTCTTTTTCACACCTCGAGTCTCGAGCGGGTCCTGTGGGATAGCATCGTGGAAGGTGCAGGACGACGTTTCATTGTGCGCTTTCCTTGCGACTTGTGTGGCGGCTTTTACGAACGCAAAGTGTTGCACACGTCTTCTGCGTATGTCGAACTGAAGCATTAGAACCCCTCCTAGGACGCATCGTCCCGATGCGCACAGCCAGCTGACAGCTTCCAAAAAATTAGATTTTTCTTTGTGTTTGAGGACATGAATCAGTTCGGTTGTGGAGTTCCTATCGTAGCACGATTTCATACGTATTACAGGTAAAACTTACGGGGATTCTTGCGTCATTTTGTGCACGCTTGACATACAGGAATCACTTTGTAGTTTGATGAACCAAGTTGATGAAGAACCCTGTAAGGGCAAAAATAGCGCCCTATAAGCTTTTCTCGTATACCACATGCACGTACAGGTGTCCAGACCCACACTGGGTCTCCAGGGAAGTACCGTACGTCCCTTTGTCTTAGATTGTAACGGTGCGCATAGACGTCTTGATGTTGAATGATGCGGTGCCTTGCAAGCGGACGCACCTCGTCTTAACTTTCCACATATTACCTGACGTCAGGGTCTTTCACATTCGCGCGCTTGACAGGCAACATCGCGTCTAATGTGGTTGTTGCTGTCCAACGATGAACAAGTTTAAAAAGCGTGAAGTGGGTTGTCTTTTGTACAGCGATATTGTACGGAAATGTAGAATACAGAAATATGCTGTCAAAAAGTCCGAGGCTCGACACCAAAATACATTTCAATCATGACAGCACGCGTCCTGTTGAACCTTTGAGTTGAACCGTTAGTTTGCGAATGGTGCGCAGTAGTTCTGTAGTTAGTGTGCGCTGATTTTGTGATAGAGTGTATCAGCCTGGCAGTGAACGCAGTTCTTTTGTCAGTTATATAGACTTTGGGTGCGCCATGTCACATTATTATCTGGGTCACACACAAAAAACTGAGTCACTGCGTTTTCGTTTCTTTTCTGAGAGACGACGTCTTGGCATACCGGGTCATCTAGTGGGTCGCTACAACAACCCACGACTTCTCGAACGATGACATAGGAAATGGTCCGAGCAAATTCATTCTGGCCTACTGGAATGGGACTTTCAGTGGCTTAATCAGTTTCAAAAGACCTGCCGGCTTCAGGGGCAGTACTTTGCGTGTTTGCCAGTCTCGGCAGTATCTGAGGTAGTGCTGTACAGAATCCATAAATTTTGGCCAGTAATATCTGTGGAGGATTCTTGCCAAAGTCCTACTGACGCCCAAGTGACCTGCCTATGGGTCATCATGACATGCCTCTAGAATTCCCGCTCGCAGTAACAATGGTATCAGAAGCAGAAACGTTTGACCGGTATGTTTGAAATCCATCGTGTAGAGAACGTGGTTCCAGAGGACATATTGTAACGGTGCATCATCGACAGGAGAAAGCGTTGCACTTTGCGAAGATGAAGAAGACGCCGGTGCGTTAGGCGCTTGCGCGAGAGGCAACTCAGCCATCTTGTTCGGCTGCCGATTCCCGGGGGACGCTATCCTATAAGCCTAGACCTCGCCCCGTCACATTTGGTGGACGTGCTGGGTAACCGCCTCGCAACAGAACTTCGCAGCGGCCGCTGTTTGAAGGGCCATTCCACAACGATGACGGAAAGGACGGTGTCTGCACCTGCTCTCCGTGTTCTTGTGGCCGGAGATGATGCGGTAACTACATCTCCTTCTGCAACCACAACCTTCGTGCTCGAACCCCCGCGGGATCCTGGCACGTTTAGCGCTTCCGGTGATCCAGATGAAGTTGACGTTGAAGATTGGCTGGCAGAGTACAAATGTGTGAGTACTCGATACCGATGGGGTCCGACTCTTATGCTGGCGAAACTGTTATTCTTTCTTAGGGGAACCGCAAAATGGTGGTATGAAAACCATGAAACAGAACTTGGGGGTTGGGCAGTGTCCAGGGAGAAAATGTTGGACCTGTTCGGAAAGCCGATTGGAAGAAAAATGGCCGCGAACAAAAAGCTCGCATCTCGGGTGCAGACCTCGACCGAGTCTTACGTCTCCTATATAGAAGATGTGTTATCGTTGTGTCGCAAAGCCGATGCCGAGATGCCGGAGGCTGACAAGGTCGGACATATTCTTAAGGGGATTGCGGATGACGCATTAAACCGCCTCATCTGCAAACAAATTATTCTACAGTGGGCGCCGTTATAAAAGAATGTCGGCGATTTGAGCAAGCGAAGAGCCGGTGGATTAACAGGGTGTTTACCCGCCTTCCGAATACGGCTGCAACGTCGTCTTGCGAAGACAGTGCAAGAAAATAGCCGCCACCTCTCGATTCATCGAATCAAGTGACCCGAATTGTACGCGCAAACTTGAAGCTATTGCCTCTGCTCCGGCTCACACCGCTGCAAGTGACACGACCCCACTCACTGCTAACATGGGTCAAGCCATCGTCTGCCAAGAACTCGCCAGCATAGGTATTACCTTGGTGTGCACATTGCCCAGCCCAAGCGAGCTCCATGGCGTCCACCCTCGTCCTATCACGAGCAGCAGTTTACAGCCCAATCTCACAACCCTTCTGCGTGGAGAACCGTCGACAATCGACCAATTTGTTTTCATTGCCACCGTATCGGTCATGTCGTCCGTTACTGAAATTATCGCTGGTCCTCGCTACCTCGGACTTCATCTGAACCTCACTACCGACAGGACAGCACCTGCTTTGCATCTGCCGCGGAGCCTTCTCCGTCAAACAACTACAGAGGGTTAAACAGCCGATCTCCGTCACCGCATGGTCGTCAGTCGCGTTCGCCTCCAGGACGTCCCCAGTCGTCTCGCTCACCGCAGACTCGCAGGCCGTCGTCCCCATTCAACCCCGCTCCTGCCTACCCGGAAAACTAAACGGTGCAGCGCCCGGAGGTGACGCTGCATTTTTGACTCCCTCCACAAATCCTCTCTTGACGCTTCCGACGAGACAAAGTTTGTTAGACGTTGACGGTGTGGCTATTTTACCCCTTATAGATACTGGAGCGCACATTTCTGTAATGAGCGCGAACCTTCGCTAACACCTACATAAAGTGCTCATGCCTGCCGCTTCCCGCACACTTCGTGTCGCTGATGGGAGGACCCCTGACGTTCAAGGGATGTGCATGGCCCGTGTGTCCGTTGCCGGTCATACTACATTAGTTCAGTTTGCCGTCATTAAAATGTGTCCTCATGACCTAATACTTAGTTTGGACTTCCAGTCACGTCATTCTGCGCTCATTGATTGTGCCACTGGTGCTCTGCAGCTTGAGCTGCCGCAGCTTGCCAATTTTCCAGCTGACTATTCTCCCCGTTAATGCTCTCGTCACCACGTTCGCTTGCCTCCGCAAGCTGCTACATATGTCACTTTGTCGTGCTCACGTCATGTGCCAGATGGTGACTACCTCGTCACTCCTATAGTCGAAGTACTGATGGCCAGAGACGTCGCCCTTGCTCACACTGTTGTCGCCGTCGTTAATAATACAGTGGTTATACCACTACTCAACGTGAGTCTCTTGACTCAAGTTATTCCGCAAGACATGTCTTTGGCCACCCTATGTCCACTTGACAGCTGCAACGTTACTGGTTTGGGCACAGATACTACATCCCCCTGACTTGGCCGCAATTACACTCTGCCTGCAAATGACATTAACAAGATGATTGCTCCCGACCTCACTCTAGCGCACGCTGCCAGCCTCCGTAGTCTGCTAACATCATATAGAGACATTTTCGACTTTGACCACCGCCCTCTCAGCCAAACAACTGCATTGACTCACCGGATCAACACTGGTGATGCCAGTCTTATACGGTGGCATCCATATTGCGTGTCTCACAAGGAACGCCAAGTAACTCAGAATGAAGTGGACAAAATGATTACTAAACACGTAATAGAACCATCATCCAGCCCCTGGGCCTCCCCAGTCATGATCGTTGAG